AGAGTTCCCTAAAAACATGGAATTGGGCAGCACTCAAGCCCCACCCTAAATGCACTCAATTGGAATATTCAATGAGAGCTGACCCCAGACACAACCCCGTATCCTATAAATGATAATACCAAATCTTTTAAATTGCAATAGTCATTTTCTCCTGAGGTTGCCTACATTCCCATGTGAATGTGTACTATCCCTTTAAATAAATTTTGCCTTTTTTATCCTTTTATCTACTTCCTTGAATTCTTTTTATCTAGAGACAAGAATATGGAGTAAAGCATAACCTAGTTTCCCCACCCCCACAACAAAGGCACTAGTACAAAAATTTCTATACTATCTTATAATAATGTAGATTTAAATCCATTTTAATATAGTCTTCTTTGGTTTCATTATTCTCCCTCACTTCAAGGTAACACTCAGTTTTATTTAAATTCTGTGAACTTCCCTTCCCCATTCACAAACTCCTTTTTGCCTTCTGTCGCTCCCCGTCTTCGCGGAGGAACGACACAGGACCCTGCGTTGTTCTTTCGTCTGCTCGGCCCTCCCCGGGTTTGCTGCTGGTTCTTCCCGGGTTGGCTACCGACCCTTCCACCTCCGTGGAAGGGCAGTTCCCCCTGCCACATTCCCCACTTCCGCGGGGGAGCGGCACACCGCCGGCCGGCTCTCTCGGGGGCTGCACAGGTGTTCCTTCAGATGTTCCCCTTAGATGTTCCTCGTGCATGCCATCTCTCTCCTCCTTTATAGTCCTCCTCCACCAATCCTAACTCGGCTGCCCACACGCCGAGTACGCTGCTCTCCTCCAATCAGGAGCAGGATCAGCTCCTGGAGGTCATCACTCAAGTTGGCAAGAGGCAGCTGCGTAGAAGCTGTTTTCTTCTCTCCCAGCGCCATATTGTGGGAGAGCAGATGCATAGAATAAGTCTTAATTCCAGTAACTCAGTCCAGTCCGGGTTGCTCCCCACACCTTCTCATTAGATTTATAATTAGTTCGTATCTCAGCATGTACCCACTCAGGATGGAACACTTCATCAAGGTGGCATGACACTTTCTAGGTAACTTGCCTACAATTGAGATGATGGACGATCTGAATATAGTTGTTGCTTTTCTATTTTCCACCCTGAGTACAGTCTTGAAACTACTTTTGTCCACCTCCACTGCTGTTTATTGGCCATAGGCATGTGCCCTGGGCATATTTCAAGTGTTAATCATGAGATGCACACATGGAATGCAAGAATAAGATTACAGGAAAAAAAGATGCTACTCATTTATACAGTTACATGTTTAGACAAATTTACTTTCTTGAAAAGTAACCCCAAAAAAGATAAAAAGTGTTGACTTCAAGGTCAAAGCATTTTTAGAAACAAAATAATTTAATATTGATAAAATCTTGAATCTATTAAGATGATTTAAGAATTATAAGTGATTTTGTGCCTCCCAACTTGACCTCACCAAATATACAATTAAAGTTGAGCAATATAATGAAGCAGACAAATCATAGAGACTCAGTAACATCTCTTATTTATCCAGTCTGAAGTCATATTACTGATCCCATCATGGAGTTTGTTTCCAGCAAAGGAACCTTCTACTGGCTGAGGTAACCCCTCTGCTGCCTACAGGGTCTTTCAGGCAGTCAGTCCCAAGCTCCAAAGGGTACCATCATTTGAGGGAGAGACATGTGCATTTTGGGTACAGCCATGGCCATGTTCACAGAAATAATGGTCACTGCATAGCTTTCTGGGACTCAGTTCCTGTAGCTGAAAACTTCAGAAATAAGATGGGGATGCATGGAGTGACTGTGGTTGATATGACACACTGTGCAGGGTGATGGTTGTGCATCTCAGTGTATGTTTGGCCTGTCTAGTTTGTGAGTCTGGTGTGTGTTGTGATGCCTAAGGAGCACAGCTGGTTCAGGGAGCCCTGTGGATATGAACTCACTTATTTGTTATTTTCTTTGATGTGTATAGCTGCTCATGGAGCTGGACTAGCGTTCTGCATTCCTTGTCTCTATCGTCAACCACGCATGCAACTTATGTCTGGACCCCTTGTGATATCCCTGGGTCTTTAGACAAGATAGGTGATCTGTTTGGTGTTAAAATCACTAGAGAGTAAGCAACAGTCATTTGTCTTGTAAATATCAAATATCCTTCCAGAACCCATGAGATCCAAATAGACTCATGATCTGCTTATAACTCCAGCATGGTCTGCATCCAACAAGCTAAGCTATCAAATCTGTAGACAAATACAAGTGGGTAGTGATGTCTGGCCTATCCCTCTTATGGGTTTAGGGAACACAGCAAAAAGTAGGGAGAGTGTAGCTGTTTTTGCAGAGTAAAGAGTTCAGGGAGGAGGCAGAAATAAGTAAAGTGTAATGGAATCTACTAGAGAACCTGGAGTACTTGCTGTGTTTCTGCAGGGGCTGTGCCAGGCTGAAGTGTTGCCAGAAACTCCACCCAACTGTCCCATTTTAGTCTTAGGGAACCAAGCACTTGAGCCACCATCTTCTATCTCCTTGGGTGGGCATCCACAGGAAGCTGTATTGGAAAAAGAAGCAAACTTGATTCTGGGCATTCCAGCATGAGGTTTGAGTGTCTCAAACAATGGCTTAACACAATACACCACAAGGTGTGCCCCTGTAGTATACACATTCTAAAAAGTAAAATGAAAAATACTACAAATAATTTTAATATCTTTTAATCAAATATAAGAAAAATATGGTCTATACAACATGTGAAACAAATTACATTTCAAGTGTCCAATAGCTCTATGTGATGTATATTTATCATACTGCAAAGCACAGGTCTAGGGCGTATAGCGAAACATAGCATTACTGGATCACAACATATTTGTATTTGTGGTTGATTGTTAGTAGACACAGCCAAATGATTTTTTTTTATTTTGACAGGCAGAGTGGACAGCGAGAGAGAGAGAGACAGAGAGAAAGGTCTTCCTTTTGCCGTTTGTTCACCCTCCAATGGCCACCGAGACCAGCGCGCTGCGGCCGGCACATCATGCTGATCCGAAGCCAGGAGCCCGGTGCTTCTCCTGGTCTCCCATGGGGTGCAGGGCCCAAGGACTTGGGCCATCCTCCACTGCACTCCCTGGCCATAGCAGAGAGCTGGCTTGGAAGAGGGGCAAGCAGGACAGAATCTGGCGCCCCGACCAGGACTAGAACCTGGTGTGCCAGCGCCGCTAGGTGGAGGATTAGCCTTTGAGGCATGGCACCGGCCAGCCAAATGATTTTTACAAAGTTTTTAAACATAAAGAGTATGTGGCTATCAGAAATGAATGAGTTTCTGGTACTCTCATTCTACAAAAATTTGTACATGTCAGTCCTTTTCAAGGTCAAACTTACTGAGGTATGAGTGAAATCACCAATATCACATGTTCTTTCAAAGATAATGGTTTTTGCAAAGCTGGCTTTGGTGGAAGCTTTGAAAACAGCAAGTGCCACATAATCATCAGCATGTGACCAGAAATGGAGGCAGCACCTGGGAAAGGTTGAGCAGCTCTGCAGTACACACCAGCAGGGCATCTTGATCCTGGCACATCAGGACCCTGCAAAGAACAAAGCACTCTACTGAGCTTTTATGAGATCACAAAAATCAGGAGAACATATAAAACTATGTACAGCACCATCCATCTACACAGAAAATATAGAAACACGTGAAAACAGGCATAGGAGAATTCTGCAAGAAAAATTACATTTCTCTTGTCAATCTCTTAGGAAATCATGGCAAATGGAAGAGAGAGGTGGAATCTAAAGGCATTCAAAAGTTACTCCTTGGGGCCAGCACTGTGGCATAGTGGGTAAGGCCACCACCTGCACTGCCAGTCCCATACTGGCAGTTCCAGTCCCAGCTGCTCCACTTCTGATCCAGCTCTCTGCTGTGGCCTGGGAAAGCAGTGGAAGATGGCCCAAGTCCTTGGGCCCCTGCACCCATGTGGGAGACCTGGAAGAAACTCCTGGCCCCTGGCTTTAGATCAGCGCAGCTCCAGCTGTTCCAGCCAATTTGAGAATGAACTAGTGAATGGAAGGCCTTTCTCTCTCTGTGTGTAACTCTGACTTTCAAATAAATAAATAAGTCTTTTTAAAAAAGAATTAATCATTGATTAACTCAATTGATTATTCTTTGATGAACTCCATTGATTTTAAATTTAAGAATGGTACTTGAAACTGTAAGTTAAACTGACACATAATAGAAAACTTCATCATATATTAAATGACATCCAAAATATTTACCCAGAAGCAGAAAGTAGAATAATTGAGTGTTCTAATCCTAGAATTTTTTAAAGATCTTTTTATTTATTTGCAAGTCAGAGTTACATAGAGAAGGAGAGGCAGAGAGATAGGGAGAGGTCTTCTGTCTGCTGGTTTCACTGCCCACTTGGCCAAACAGCTGGAGCTGTGCCGATTCAAAGACAGGAGCCAGGGGCTTCCTCCACTTCTTCCTATGTGGGTGCATGGGAAGGACTTGAGCCAGCTTACACTGCTTCCTCAGGCCATAGCAGAGAGCTGGACCAGAAATGGGGCAGCTGAGACTTGAACTGGCACCCAAATGGGATGCTGGCACTACAGGCAGGGGCTTTACCTGCTATGCCATAGCTCCAGCCCCCTGATCCCTAGACTTATTAGATTAATATCCCTTTGAATATATTAACTAATATATTTAACTTATCTGGACATGTGTTTAATATTTTTATAAATGAAAATATTTATTGGAAATAATGTTCACTTATTTGACTCTTACCATTGGAATAAAAGTAAACCCAAACTTTTTATATAATAGACCATTATGTTACTATGATTTTCTATATTACAAGATAATCTAAAAGGAAGTAAGTAGTTTTTGAAACCATCATAATGTTTTGGAGAAGTCATAATGATTAAAGAGTATAACAATGTGCTTTCTATGTCATTATATCTCAATGTTTAAATGGTTAAAATTGTTTAAAAGTATTGAAGATTCCTTCCTTCTGACAATTTCATTTCACTTCTTTTCCCTTAGCATGTATCAAGACCATTAATATAATATAGTTAAATTTTTCAGTTTTATGTACTACAAACTCTGCAGCTAAATTTTCCCTTGAAGAAGAAAAATATTTATTGCATAAACAGGTAAGTATTTTTCATAAAATTCATCTTTTCTGATTTTAATTTTTTATTATAAACACTTTTATTTAGTAAATATAATTTTCCAAAGTACAGTTTATGGATTACAATGGCTTCCCCCCCCATAACTTCTCTCCCACCCGCAACCCTCCCATCTCCCACTCCCTCTCCCATTCTGATTTTAATTTTATGTAAGTAATTATTACTGCTCTTTAAACAAACAGGCAACTCCTTTAATTTTTTAAGCTTTATATGTACCTACAATGTTTTATCCAGTCTTATTTTTAAAGTTTAGCTATTTAAGAGAGCACTTTCCTTCACTGGTTCACTTCCCCAGATGCCTGCAATAACCCAGGCTGAGCAAAATCCAGGAGCCAGAAACTCAATTCAGGTCTCACATGTGTGGCAAGGATTCAATTATTTGAGTCATTATTTGTTGCTTCTCAAGGTCTTCCTTATCAGGAAGCTGGAGGTGAGTATTGAACCCAGGCACTCAGATATGGGATGATATAGGATACAGGCATCTTACCTGCTAGGCCAAACATCATTCCATGTCATATATTGATAGTTCTCAAAAGCTTAGTTTTAATGACTATGTGATATACCATTAAAAATATATACTATAATAGTTTATTTTTAAAAGCTTAACATTACATTGTTAAAAGATTTATTTATTTATTTATTTGAAAGTCAGAGCTACACAGAGGAGAGGCAGAGAGAGAGAGAGAGAGGTCTTCCATCTGGCAGTTCACTCCCCAATTGGCTGTACGGATCCAAAGCCAGGAGCCAGGAGCTTCCTCTGGGCCTTCCCATGTGGGAGCAGTGGCCCAAGGACTTGGGTCACCTTCTACTGCTCTCCCAGACCACAGCAGAGAGCTGGATTTGAAGTGGAGCAGCCAGGTCTTGAACCGGTGCCCATATGGGATGCCGGCACTGCAGGTGGCAGCTTTACCTGCTATGCCACAGTGCCAGCCCCAATATAATAGTTTAAATCTACCCAGATGAAATATATTAGCCTCTTCAGTTGTGTTTACTTTTTTGTCATTAGACGGTCATTTCACAAACTTTTATTATCTGTGTGACTCTACTAGGTACCGGACATCATCCTAGGCACAGCTCCTGGAGTTGTATTGTCACAAATTTCCATGTGTGCAGTTTTTACCATTATTGAAGCTCCTTCCTTCAGCGTCATAATTGTTGAGTCAAAAATTGTGAGAATAAAAAGTTCCTTTCCAGGGCTTAGCGCTGTGGAGCAACAGGTTAAGCTGCCACCAGCAATGCTGGCATCCCATATGGGAGTACTGGTTCATGTCCAGCTGCACTGTTTCTGATCCAGGTCCCTGATGATGCACCTGGAAAAGTAGCAGAGAGTGGCCCAAGTGCCTGGGCCTCTATTACCCCTGTGGGCAACCCAGATAGAGTTCCAGGCTACTGGCTTTGGCTTGTCCCAGCCCTGACCATTGTAGGCCTCTGGGGAATGAACAGGTGGTTAGAAGACTGCTTTATGTCTCTGTATTTTCCTCTTTCTCACTCTGCCTTTCCACAAAAAATTTTTTAAAAATTTTTTGTTTTTATTGATGAATACTATTAAAATTCACTGAATAATAAAGATATTTGAAACTCTTGAGGTTGATGCTACCACATTATATCACTTACTACACCCTCATATTTTGAAAACATTTTAGCTAGCTTGTCATCACTCTCTTAACTCCCCATTTTGTCTAATTCCTGATTTAAAAAAATGTATTTAAGAAGCTGGCACTGTGGTGTAGTATGCTAAGCCTCCACCTGCAGCACCAGCATCCCATATGGGTCCTGTCTACTCCTCTTCTAATCCAGTTTTATCTATGGCCTGGCAAAGCAGTGGAAGATGGCCCAAGTGCTCATGCCCCTGCACCTTTGTGGGAAACCTGGAAGAAGCTCCTTGCTCCTGGCTTCAGATTGTCCCAGCTCTGGACATTATGACTATTTGTGGAATGAATCAGCAGAAGGAAGACCTTTCTCTCGATTTCTCCCTCTATCTGTGTGTAACTCTACCTCTCAAATAAATAAATAAAATATTCCTTAAAAACAATATTTCAAAAATATATTTGAAAGTGGAGATAGAGACAGAGGTCTTCCATTCACTAATTCACTCCTTAAATAGCCATAACAGTAAAGGCTGGGCCAGGCTGAAGCTAGGAGCATAGAGCTCTGCCTGGATCTCCCATATGGGAAGCAGGAATCAAAGTAGTGGAGTCAATACTTGCTGACTTTCAGGGCACATGTTAGCAGCGGCTGGAATCAGATTCAGAGTCAAGACTTGAACCCATATTTTCTGATATGGGATGCAGGCATCCCAAGAGGTGACATCTTAACTGCTGCAGCAAACATTCATGACTCTCCATGATTCTTAGTGGATCAATATGTAAAACTTTATAACATACTTTTAATTAGTAGAGATTTTTGTGTACCTTTTCCTATTAGGCTTCTCAGTATCAAAGGGTAAAATTCATTTTGCCCTTATTTCACAGAAGCACCATTTATCCATATAGCATATTTAATTAGTAAGTGTACTAGGCATAACTTTAGTTAACAAATGCCACACAAACATTAACTTTGCAGGATACTGCTGCCCACAGCGATTATTAATATAGGACAGTATTTCAGATACTATTTCACTAATATACTATATGGAACCAATAACTTTCCCCCATACTTCTTCACTGTGTATTTTGTGATCTTTTCTCCCATGCACAGATCATAGGACCCTAGCATTAGAGTGTTTGGTAGATAATTTAGAGACCTTTCTGTTGGAAATCTGAATCTTCCAATATATTTTACCTCATCATGAAATTTGTGCCATAGTTGCCTGTGCTGAACTCCAAATACATCACTGAGGGAGAGGTAGTGGCCAGAATTATGTAACACACACTATGTGAATCCCTAACATGGAGAACACAAGCCAATTTATGTCATTCTCCTCAGAGAGTCCGAAGGCCACTTAAGGTTGGGGGGATCTGAGGCTAGAGACTTCTGTGAAGAATGAGGGAACAAAGTTAGTACATCAAGTCAAGAACAAATCTGAAAAAAATTAAAGCAATTTCTTGGATTTGGATTCACATGTGTCCGATTTTCATAAGTTTGGGATTAAAGGAAGCTAGTGAATAAGTACGAAGTGTAATTAACATGTAACCTATAGTTTTATTTTCTCAGATATAAGATGGGGATATGAATGCATTCTTTATAAATAGCAATTGCCAAAGGTTTCAGAATTTTGACCAGGTGAGAGGCGAGTAGATGCTTCCCCCAGATTATCAGAGTACTCTGCATGTGCATATGGGTTGGTCTGGGGGTCCTCTTGAGGGTAAAATTTGGGGAATCATGCCGTGTGCACCTGGCAATTGTAGATAAGATTGGACTCCAGACAATCTTACTTCTTTCTCAGTCTGCATGCTCAGTGCTTAGGCAGCTGGCTTCTTGGCTGTGAATGCTTAGAGGCTAGAGACTCATTTTTTTCTCCTACAATGACTTCTGTCACCAGCAATCAGACAAGCTTCTTCTCTAGTTGGGATATTCTAATACATGCAAGAGATGCTAAGGATCTGAGTTCTTGATAAGTTTCCTCCAGGCTGTCTTATGCTTATTGAGTGATATATGGATCCTGAATTAATTTCCAACACTTATTCATTCTTAGCTCTGTTAAAGCAGTTTTGAACAGAGATCATAGCATCTGTCTTTTTCTCTGCTATGTCAGATTTGATGTTGGGAGGAAACCTAATTAAATAATGAAGTTGGAGATTCAAGCTGGCCATATGGAGAAGTACAGTGTTTGCCCACTCCTCTACTGAGATACTCCACAGCAGCTATGTCTACAGATGAGTACTTCCAGAAGAGCACCAAAAGCAAGAAGACACAAGCAGAATTTTGATAACAGGCATAGCATGTTGGAGAGGGGAGAAGGAGGAACAAGTTCAAACATGTTAGTGTGGATCTGCACAGACTATTGCCCAGGAGATAGTATGTGAAGAGGTATCCAGCAGCTACACATCAGCAGCTCAATGAAAAGTGGTCTCTGGAAACTTTAGGTCTCCTGGATTTCAGAGGGGGAACCCACATGTTTCCCTCCCCCACTTCCCACTCCTCAGAACATGGACTGTGGTGGGGATATGCTATCTTGAGAGGAGGAACCACTCACAAGCTTTGCTTCTCTGTCTTATTTCCAGGACTCCCAAAGTCCTACATTCTAATGGGAAACACTGAGCTCAGTAGGTCCAATTGGACATAGCAGGGCAGTTGCAGTCCTGGATCTCAGACCCATTTAGCACTCTCCTGCAGCAAACAGGCTCAGATCAGCTGGAAAATGCCCTGGGATATCTCCCCTAAACACTTGGAAAATTACAGGTTTAATCTGGGCTCCTGTGCACTTGCCCAGTCTGACTGCACACTGGGAGCAAATCTCACAGTGGGGATGAAGGGCACATTGCAGAGAGAGACAGTGCTGTGGAATGTGAACACATCGGGATTGGTGAAGTACGATGGCCTCAAGAGCTCATTCTGAGCTGTGCATTGACTAGTTCACCTTGGCCCATGGAAAACATGGGACTTCAAGTACACCAGAGAGAGCCAACATCCCCTCACTCCACTGACTGTAGCCAAAGAGGCTGTCCACTACTTAGATGTCACTCTGGACTCTTCTCCCAGTCACAGTGACCCTGAGCTCTGGGCTCCAGCTCCTCCCACAGAACCTGGAAGTTTCATACTATTGCTCACTGGATGCTTGGCCTGAGGTAGCTGTACCCAATCCAAACCAGTAAGCAGCACACAGGGTGTGTCCCCAGAAAGCTGGTTTGCTGGTTCAGAAAGAAAACTACATTCAATAAACCAAATTTTAAAAAACACTATGGAAAGTCTTAACAACAAACCAGATGAGCCAGAAGAAAGAGTAACTGGTCTGCAAAACAAGTCTTTGGAAATATTTCAGTTAGATTAAAAAGCAAAGCTAGTAAAGATCAGAGAAAATGGAAAAAGTGTTCATGATCTATGGGATACTATCAAAAGATGAAATACATTAGGCTTAGAAATTTGTGAAAAAATGGAAAAATGGGAGAGTTTTTAAATCCTATTTGATAAAATAATATTGGAAAATTCCCCTAATTTGGAGAAAGTATGGACACCTAAATACAGGAGGCACCTTCAATCCCAAATAGGCATGATCAAAAAGATCCTCACTATAGTCAAACTTTCAAAAGTAAAACATACAGAGATTATCCTAAAATTTTCAAGAGATAAATGGCTGGTCATTTTTAAAACATACCCATATGGTTAGTGTGGTTTTTTTTTTGAAGATTTATTTTATTTATTTGAGAGACATAGTTACAGAGAAAGGTAGAGACAGAGAAGTCTTCCATCTGTTGGTTTACTCCCCAGATGGCCGCAACAGCCAGAGCTCCGCCAATCCAAAGCTAGGAGCCAGAAGCTTCCTCCAGGTCTGCCATGAGGGTGCAGGGGCCCAAGGATTTGGGCCATCCTCCACTGCTTTCTAGGCCACAGCAGAGAGCTGACTAGGAAGAGGGGCAACTGGTACTAGAATTGGCACCCATATTGGATACCAAAGCTTTAGGCCAGGGCTTTTACCCACTGGGCCACACCACCGGCCCTTAACATGTTTTTTAACAGAAACATTGCAGTCCAGGAGAGAACAAATAGATACAGTCCAAATTCTAATAGAAAAAAATCAGCCAATCCAGAATACTTACACAGGGATGATCTCATAGATAGATGAAGGTGAAATAAGATCTACCCAGGTTAGATGTGTAGATCAATGGAACATAATAGAAACTCCAGAAATTGATCCATGCATCTACAATCAACTTATTTTTGATAAAGGAGGTAAAGTCAAATCCTGAAACAAGGACAGTCTCTTAAAAAATGGTGCTGGGGAAACTGGGTCTCCACATGCAGGTATGAAATGAGATCCCTATCTTACACCTTACACAAAAATCCACTCAAAATGGAACAAAGACATAAATCTACAAACTGATACCATCAAATTATTAGAGAACATTGGAAAACACTGTAAGACATTGGCATAGGCAAAGACTTCTTGGAAAAGACCCCAGAAGCACAGGCAATCAAAATTGACAAATGGAAGTACATCTAGCTGAGAAGCTACTGTACTACCAAAAACACTCGGCAAAGTGAAGAGGCAACCAACAGAATGGGAGAAAATATTTGCAAACTATGAAACTGATAAAGGATTAATATCCAGAGTCTATAAAGAGCTCAGGAAACTCAACAACAAAACAAACAACCCAGTCAAGAAATGGACAGAGGAGTTGAAAAGGTGTTTTTCAAGAAAGGAGATTCAAATGGCCAACAGATGCATGAAAAAATGCTCAGGATAACTAGCCATCAGGGAAATTCAAATCAAAACCACAATGATGTTTCACCTCATCACTGTTAGAATCATTCTTGTAAGAAATCAACAGACAACATGCTGGCAAGAATGTGGGGGGGAAAAGCCACCCTAATCCATTGCTGGTGGGAATGTACACTTACACAGTCACTGTAGCATGGAGATAACTCAGAAATCTGACTAGAAACCTACCACATGGCCCAGTCATCCTATTCCTGGGAATTTACCCAAATGAAAAGAAATCAGCATATGGAAGAATTATATGTACCTTTGTGCTTATTGCAATTCAATTCACAATAGCTAAGATATGGAATCAACCCAGATATCCATCAACTGAAGACTGGATAAAGAAATTGTGGTGTATAATACACATTATGGACTACTACACCATAAAAATTGAAATCCTATTGTTTACAACAGGATGGTCACAACTGGACACATATTTAGTGAAATAAGTCAGTCTGAAAAAGACAAATACCATATGTTTTTGCTTATTTGTGATAACTAATAGAGTACCTAAAAGATAACCTATAGGATTAAAATTGACATTTTGAGATTTGATGATTTTTTTATAGCCCTTGTCTCTATTGCTGAGGAACAGTGTTTTCTTTTCACAATATTTATTGAATCCTTTACTTAGTCTAGGGTTAATCTTATGAGTATAAAGTTAACTGAAATAGATATTCATAAAAAATAAGAATGGGGATAGGAGAGGGAAGAGGAAGAAGGGTGGGAGGGAGGGTAGGGTAGAAAGTATCACTTTTTCCTGCAATGAGTGGAGCATTCCCTGCAATGAACTGTAAAACATGATCATAAAACAAGTTCTAACAAAATTTTAAAAAGTGGAACTATATCATGTAACTTTTATGATCACAGTGGAATGCAGATGGAGATAAAAATCAAAGACATTCTAGAAAATATACAACACATGGAGAATAAGCAATATATTCCTGAATAAAAATTGGATATAGAAGAAATAGAAAGAGAAATTTTAAAATGCTTGAAATAAGTAACAATGAAAACACAGCATATCAAAACTTATGGGATATAGCAAAATCAGTGTTAAGAGGAAAGTTTATATCAACGAGTATATATAACAAAAATCGAAAGGATTCTGCTCCTGGCACTGTGGTGTAGTGGGTAAAGCTGCCGCCTGCAGTGCCAGCATCCCATATGGGCGCTGGTTTGAGTCCTGACTGCTCCACTTCCAATCCAGCTCTCTGATATAGCCTGGGAAAGCAGCAGAAGATGGCCCAAGTCCTTGGGCACTTTCACCTGCATGTGAGACACGTAAGAAACCCCTGGCTCTTGGTTTTGGATTGGCGCAGCTCTAGCTGTTGCAGCCATCTAGGGAGTGAACCAGTGGATGGAAGAACTCTCTATCTCCTTCTCTCTCTCTCTCTCTCTCTCTCTCTCTCTCTGCCTCTCCTTCTCTGTGTAACTCCTTTCAAAGTAAATAAATAAATCTTTAAAAAAAGAAAAGAAAATTTATCAAGGCTGGCTGTAGCGCAGCGGGTTAATGCCCTGGCATGAAGCGCCGACATCCCATATGGGTGCCAGTTCAAGACCTGGCTGCTCCTCTTCCAATCCAGCTCTCTTCTGTAGCCTGGCAAAGCAGTAGAAGATGGCTGAAATCTTTGGGCCCCTGCACCCACTTGGGAGACCCAGAAGAAGCCCCTGGCTCCTGGCTTTGGATCTGTGCATCTCTGGCCATTACGGCCAATTGGGGAGTGAACCATCAGATGGAAGACCTCTCTCTCTCTCTCTCTCTCTCTCTCTCTGCCTCTCCTCCTGTCTCTGTGTAACTCTTTCAAATAAATAAATAAATTTCTAGAAAAAAGGAAAGGATATCAAACAAATGATCTAACAATTTATCTCAAGACATACAAAAATAACAATAAAACATAATCCAAAATTACTAGGAAGAATAGTAAAAATTACAAAAGAAATAAAAAATAAAAATTTTACAAAAGATCAGTGAAATGAAAAAAGTAATAAAATTGATAAATCATTGACCAAACTAACAAAGAGAAAAGACAAGACTCAAGTTAATAAAACAAAATGAAAAAGGATATGTCATAACTGATACCACAGAAATGAAAGAACTATTAGGAATTACTGCAAACAGATATATTCCAACAAATTGAAAAATCTAGAAAAAATGATACAATTCTGAACACATATAATTACCAAAACTGGTGCACAAAGACATAGAAAACATGAATAGATCAATAACCAGGCTGACATAGAAGCAGCATTAAAGATCTCAACAAAGGAAAGCCCTGGATTGGATATTTAATTCTACTACTTAATTATACCAAACTTTCAAGGAACAACTAATAGTCATTCTTCTTAAATTTTCCAAAAACAATTGAAAGCAAGGAAAATATTCCAAAATCATTTTATGATGCTAAAATTGACTTAATTCCAAAACTAGGTGAAGGTATAACAAAAAAGAAAACTATAGATCAATATTTCTGATAACACAAATGCAAAAATTCTCAAGAAAATATTAGCTAATTGAATCCAGCAATACATCAAAAATATTATCTACCCAGACCAACTTGGATTTATCCTAGAGACACAGGAATGGTTCAGCATATACATATCAATAAATCTGACACATGATATAAATAAAATGAAGGATAAAGATCATGATTACCTGAATATTTGCCAAGAAAGCATTCAATAAAACATTCTGTCATGATAAAAACCTTAAAATTGGATGTAGAAGGAACATACCTTATCAGAATCAAGGAATATATGACAGTCCCACAGCTAAAATCATATGGGATGGAGAGAAGCTGGAAGCATTTCTACATTGTCTGGAACCAGATGATGACACCCATTCTCACCACTATTAGTCAATATGTTTCTGGAAGTTTTAGCCACAGTCATCATATAAGAAAAAGAAATTGAAGGAATAAAATTAGAAAGGTAGAAGTCAAATTATCTCTGATTGCAGACAACATGATCCTTTATACATGAGAATAAAAAGAATCCTCTGAGACGATTAGAACTGATAATGTTGCAGGTTACAAAAACACAGAGAATCCATAGCATTCTTAAACACCAGCAATGTCCTAGCTGAAAAAGGGCTCAAAACAACAGTCCCATTCATAATACCTTTAAAAATTTAAGTACCGTGGGATATGATTAACCAAGGATATGAATGATCTATATAATGAATATTACAAAAACATGAAATAAATAGAAGACATAAAAACTGGAAAATTGTACATGTTCATGGATTAAAATAAATAATTATCAGCATAATGTCTGAACTATCCACACCTATTTACAGTCAATGCAATTCCAATGAAAATCCCAAGGAAATTCCACACAGACCCAAAAAATCTTGAAATTCATCTGCAATCAACTAATCTTTGACAAAACAGTTAAAATCATTCATGAAAAAGGGTACTCCATTCAAACAAACTTTGGGAAATTGGATTTCTACTTCCAGAAGTTTGAAACAATACCTCTTCTTTACATTCTATACAAAAATAAATTCACCATGGGTAACAGATCTAAACTTAAGCCCTAAAATCATCAAATTACTAGAGGAAAATATAGGGAAAATGCTGAAAGACACTGGCCTCAGCAAATACTTCTTGTATAAGATCCAAAAAGCACAGGCAATAAAGGCAAAGATAAACAAATAGGATTGCAATAAGCTGAGAAACTTCTGCCCAGTGAAGGAAACAACTAACAACATGAAGAGGCAAACAAAGAATGGGAGAAACGTTTTTAGGTTATGTATCTGATATAAGTATTAATATCCAGAATATACCACTGGATAAATGATATAAACAGACTTTATTCATTTGTCTGCTACCCATTGTATTTCATCCTTTGAAAAATATCTGTTCATATGTATCCTTTGCTCACTTCACAACTGGGATACTTGTTTTGTGGTTATTGTATTTACTGAGCTCCTTAAATATCTGGCAGCAGGGAACTTCAAACAAAAATCACCATGAGGTATCACCTCACTACAGTTACAATGGCTATTATCCAAAAAACAAAAAGCAGATGTTGGTGAGATGGGGAAAAGTAGTTTGTTTCTTTTTTCTTTTTTTTTTTCTTTTTCTTTTTTTTTTTTTTTTGACAGGCAGAGTGGATAGTGAGAGAGAGAGACAGAGAGAAAGGTCTTCCTTTGCCGTTGGTTCACCCTCCAATACCCGCCACGGCTGGCGCGCTGTGGCCGGTGCACCGCGCTTATCTGAAGCCAGAAGCCAGGTGTTTCTCCTGGTCTCCCATGGGGTGCAGGGCCCAAGCACTTGGGCCATCCTCCACTGCCTTCCCGGGCCACAGTAGAGAGCTGGCCTGGAAGAGGGGCAACCGGGACAGAATCCGGCGCCCCGACCAGGACTAGAACCCGGTGTGCTGGCACCACTAGGTGGAGGATTAAACTATTGAGCCACGGCGCTGGCCAGTTTGTTTCTTTTAAAACCATTTTGTCAATCCAAATATAAGCATTCAAGGAAGAAAGTAGGCTGCTAGTGTCTACCTGTAAAAATAATCTAACATATGTCTTGGTATAAATAAGATGAGAGAAAAAGTATCAGTCTTCCAATGTTTTTGTTAGTAGTAAATAAATAACAGTTAAACTTTTGGTATACAAAAAATCCATAAATAACATTATTCATTTTCTTTCATTAATTTTTACTGAGTTGCTTCTTTAGTCTTTGCAAGTTAATATTATAGTTATATTACATATATAATTATATTATAATTACAATATTATATATTATAGTTATATTGTAGTTAATATTATTAACAAATGAATACTTCATTAATTCAGTGTTTGTTAATTTCACAGTAAATAATTACTTCACTGATGTTAAAACTTCCAAACATAATTTAATAGTCTTGAAATTCAACTCAGATCATTCTAGATACAAATAGTCTGCTAAATACAGATATCTTACAGTGACTTTAACAGTTAATTGTCCATGACATACACTAAGGTTTTATTCATGACCAGTTTCAAGATAACCCATTTGTGCTTATACAGGTGAAAAACAACTTCCAATTTTCTTATTTTCTTGTTTTTATTTTTAATATAAAAGTTGGAAGGGACATTAAAATTCCAAGTCTCATATTGAATTTAAAAATTTCATCATCAACATTTGGAAGTAAACAAGACCAGTTACACAGCTCCAGGAGTAGAGGGCTCCATGTTGTATTCATACATACATACTAAAGAATGTCAAAAAATACTGTTATTTACCACTGTGACATCCATTCAAATACTTTTGATAGAAGCAAATTTTGTGGGTTTTTTTGGCTTTAAATTTTTAATTTATTTTTGTCTTTATTATTTTGCACTGTCCAATGAAGGAAAAGTATCACAAAATTTCAGGCCCAAAATGTGCAAACTAATTCCCTCTATATAAAGCAATGTTGGATTATTTTGAAAATAGTCCATGCAAAGATGCATGCATAGTTTTTTTTATATCCATATGAGCAGAAACACTTATAATAAGAATGGATTTTATATACATATATCGCACAAGTAAAATAAGAATTTAGTCTCTCTTAGGCACAAACTCATTTTCTTTACCCAAAATATTAGATTTTATTTATTAAGGATCTTTTATTAGAGAGAGAATCTTCCATGTTATGGTTCACTGTCCAAATGGCTGTAATAGCCAGGGCTGGGTCAGTTAAAGACAGGAGCCAGGAACTTCATTCTGGTTTTCCT